CAAAAAATTGTTTATAAAAACAAATTACTCACATTCCTATAATCATAATATGATTACTGTGATGATTTTAAATTATATCCCATACATTTTTTTTATAATCCTCCTTTCAATAAGTGAAGCTAATTTCCATCTCTAAGTGAGAGCTGGATTTAGCACCTGGATTGAAACAAATGGGACATGGTAGCAGAGAAAATGTGGGACTTCCAAGTTTAGGTCATACCATGTGGCTTCCTCCTTGCTCTGTATCTCTTGTTCTGGAGTCAGTGGTTCTCAACCTTTCTAATGCTGTGACCCTTTAATACAGTTCCTCATGTTGTGGTGACCCCCAACCATAACATTATTTTCGTTGCTACTTCGTAAGTGTAATTTTGCTACTGTTAATGAAACATAATGTAAATATCTGTGTTTTCCAATGGTCTTAGGCGACCCTGCTAGTGGTTCTAAACCTGCTGCTGTAGAGCCTAAGACCATCGGAAAAACAGATATTTATATTATGATTCATTAACAGCAGCAAAATTACACTTAGGAAGTAGCAACGAAAATAATTTTATGGTTGGGGGGGTCACCACAACATGAGGAACTGTATTAAAGGGTCACAGCATTAGAAAGGTTGAGAACCACTGTCTGGAGGAAGACCACTGTCTTTTTATAGAAACAGGAAGCCCTTTGAAGAGGCTCACATGGTAAGGATGGGCTGTTCCCTGCCAATCGATGACAAGGAGCTGAGGCCTCCTGCCACCAGCCATGTGAGTGAGCCAATCCGTTAGTCCCAGTCAAGCTTTCAGATGACTTCAGCACTAGCCTCTTGAGAAACCCTGGACCAGAACTAACTGGTCAAGTGACTCCAAATGCTTGACCTCCAGAAAGCTGCAGATCATAAGTGCTTATTGCTTTAAGCTTTGAAGTTTTGGGCTAATTTAGCTACACAGCAACAGGTAACTAATATAATCACCACGAATATCTTTTTTGTTTATTTATTTCCATTTTCCTCCTCTGCTGCAGAGAAGCTTCTGCTTTGTAGGTTCAATCAAAACGTACATAAACTTGTCTCCTACGTTTTTTACTTCGTCTTTGAGAGGCAGTTGAGAATGTAAACTATACATCCAGTTTACCTGGGTTTGAATACTGCCTCCTCTCTTTCTATGTGATTTTGGGTATGTCAATTTCTTTGTGCCTAATTTTTCTCATATGTAAATGGAACATGATGATAGTATACAGGATAATTGTGGGAATTAAGTGAGTTAATATGCATAAAAGGATTAGACGAGTGGTGTGCAGTAATCATTATAGAAGAGTAAATAATTACCATAATCATATAATCATTAACAATTACTTTACCACCATTTAAAATTTTTTGGTAAAATATACATATTATAAAATTTACTATCTTTACCATTTTTAAGCATATAGTTCAGTGGTATTAAGTACACTGTTTATCCATCAGGACTATTCATCTTCAGAATTCTTTTTCATTTTGTAAAACTAAAACTCTGTACCCACTAAACAATAATCCCCAATTCCCTCCTTCTTTTTATCTCTGGTTGGATTACTCTAAGTACCTTATGTAAGGGGACTCATACAGTATTTGTGTTTTTGTGACTGGCTTATTTCACTTGGCATAATGTCCTCAAGGTTCACCCATGTTGAAGCATGTGTCAGCATTTCCATAATTTTAAGTCTAACTGATTCCATTATATATATATATCTCCCATTTCATTTTGTTTATTGATTTATTGATGGTCATTAAGGTTACTTCCATGTTTTAGCTATTGTGAATAATGCTGCTACAAATGTAAGTGTACAAATAGCTTTTTGAGATCCTGTTTTTAATTTCTTTGAGTATATACCCAGAAGTGGAGCTGCTGGATCATATGATAATTTTTATTATTTTCAGAAACTGCCATACCATATTTCACAGCGGATGTATCATTTTGCATTCCCACCAATAGAGCACCAGGGTTCCAGTTTCTCCTATCCTTACCAACCTTAGTTATTTCTCTTTGTTTGATTGTTTTATTATAGTCATTCTAATGGATATGAGGTGGTATCTCATTGTAGTTCAGATTTGCATTTCCATAATCATTAGCCATGTTAAGCACCTTTTCATGTGCTCATGGGCTATTTGTATATCTTCTTTGGAGAAATTTAAGTCCTTTGCCCATTTTTGAATAGGGTTATTTGTGCTTTTTTTGTTTTTATTTTTGTTTGTTTTTGTTTTGGTTTTTATTTCTGTTGTTGGATTTTATAAATTTCCTATATATTCTGTATATTAATGCCTTACCAGATATATGATTTGAAAATATTTAGTCCATTTGGTGGGCTGCCTTCTTTATTCTGTTAAAGTCTTTTGATGCACACATGTTTTTAATTTTTATGGAGTTCAATTTTCTATTTTTTCTTTTGTTTTCTTGGCTTTCAGTCATATCCAAAAAAAAAAAAAATTAATAAATCTGATGTCATGAAGCTTTTGCCCTGTATTTTCTCCAAGATATTTCATGGTTTTAGGTCTTACTTTTGGGCCAAGGTTCATTTTGAGTTAATTTTTGTATATATAATCTTATAGTGTAAGGGTCCATCTTCATTTTTTTGCATAAGAATATATAGTTTTTCAGCACCATTTGTTTAAAAGACTGTCTTTTCTCCATTGAATGGTTTTGGCACCCTTGTTGAAAATTACTTGACCATATTTGTGAGAGCACATTTCTGAACCCTGCTGTATTTCATTAGTCTGTATGACTGTCTTTGTGCTGCTACCACACTCTTGATTATTCTATCTTTGTAGTAAATTTTGGAATCAGAAGAAGAGTTTTGTTCTTTTTCAGGATTATTTTGACTATTGGGGATAATCCCTTGAGATTCCATATGAACTTTAGGATAATTTTTTTCTATTTCTACAAAAACATTGGAATTTTGATAGATATTATATTGAATCTAGAGATTGTTTTTGGTAATATAGACATCTTAACAATATTTTCTCCCAACCCATGAACATGTGATATCTTTCCATTTATTTATGTATTTAATTTCTTTCAGAATTTATAGTTTTCATTATATAAATTTTTCACCTATTGGTTAAGTCAATTTCTAAGTATTTAATTTTGATGCTATTGTAAATGGAATTGTTTTCAGATTATTTATTGCTTTTTGTGTGTCAACTATGAATTAGTTTATTAGTTCTAAGAGGACGTTTTGTGCAATATTTAGAGTTTCCTATGTATAAGATCACATCATCTTTGAAAAAAGAATTTTACTTATTTTTTTCTATTTGTATGCCCTTTTTTATTTTATTTTTTTCTTGCCTGATTGCTTTGTCTAGGATTCCCATATTATGTTAAATAGAAGTAGTCCATCTAGCTAAAGTTTAGTCAATTGGTTGGTCTTTTTAATGAAGAAACTTTGGGGTTTGTTGATTTTCTCTTTTATTTTCTAATCTCTATTTTATTTATTTCTTTTCTAATCTTTACTATTACCTCCATTCCACTGGCTTTGGGTTTAGCTTGTTCTTTTTCTAATTCCTTAGATTGTAAAGTTAAGTTCATTTGAGATCTTTCTTATTTTTTTTAGGTGTCTCTTTTTGAATCTTTATGGTAGCAGGCTGGCATGTAGTGTGAGTATGAACAACTCCTAGTGGAGTCTTATGGGATCTCAGGCATTAATTTCCGTTGAGTTTTGTTGTATCAAAACTCACAACTGTATTGTTTCAGACAGAAAGGATTGCAGTCTTAGACACTTAAGAATCAAGATACCTGAGTGTAAGTTTTGAGGCTCTACTTAACAGCTGTTTGATCTTGAGCAAGGTTAAGGCTCATTGTCTTCATTATAAATTTACTAGAGGCTCGGTGCACAAAATTTGTGCACTGGGGTGAGGGGTGTCCCTCAGCCCAGCCTGCACTCTCTCCAAACTGGCACCCCTTGGAAGATTTCTGACTGCCAGGTTAGGCCTGATATTGGGCCTAAACTGGCAGTCGGACATCCCTCTCACAATCTGGGACTGCTGGCTCCTAACCATTCACCTGCCTGTCTGCCTGATTGCCTTAATTACTTCTGCCTCCCAGCCTGATCACCCCCTAACCGCTCCCCTACTGGCCTGATTAACATCTAACTGCTCCCATGCTGGCCTGATCACCCCAACTGCTCTCCCATGCTGGCCTGATGGCCCCCAATTGCCTTCCCTTGCTGGCCTGATCTCACTCCCAACTGTCCTCCCCTGCAGGCCTGATCTCACCCCCAACTGCCCTCCTCTGCTGGCTAATTTGGTTCTGATTGGTCAGTTTCTATGCCAGAGACTGCCAAAAGCTCTGTCCCCTAGGCAGCCATTGGCTCCTCACACTTCACCCAGATTTGGTTCTGATTGGTCTGTTTCTATGCCAGTCAGCATCTCTGGTTCTATCAATGGGGCCTGATCAGAAAGGTGGGGCTGATCAGCAGCCCCCAGTGGAGGCCTGGAGAGAAATGGAGTCACAGCTGCTGGCTAGGTTTGGAAACAAAGAGAGAGGCAAGTGCTGATCAACAGCTGTCACAGAGGCTACAGATCAGACCCTACTTCTATCTTTAGGCCTCTTTCTAGGCCTGGTTCACAGTCCCCTCAGTAGTCAGTGCTGGGTCACAACGCCTGCTACCATAGCAAACAGTGCTGGGTCGCCATGGCAACCCAACACTGACTACAGGACTCACTTCCAGTTGGTTGAGCCTTCAGTGATGGACCCAGGGTTTTTATATATTAGGATGAGATAACAATTATCATTTTATGAGGGGTATAGTGTGGATACAATGAGATAGCTTTTGTCAAAGTACCAAGTAAAAATATTAACAGTTATTATTTACTGTGAGCTTTCTAGAGGCAGGGAACTGTGGCTTTTTCTTCTTCTAGTGAATAAAGTCTGTAGTAGCTATGACAGTGCTTAAATTACATATAGGGGCCATGTATCTCTACCATCTACAATAGCACATAATGGGCACTCAACAAATGCCAATTGAATGAATGAGCTAATTCCTCTTACCTTAAAGGGTGACTTTCATGACCCTTGGCAAGTCATTCACCATCTGCATCCCTCCACTCTGCCTGTCATAGTGCTGCTCCTTCAACAGGAATTCCTTCAGGGGTCAGCTCTTCACAGGCAGAGCCACGGCAGCACCGAGGTTTGCCATTATCACTGGAGAGGCCTCACGACTTCACTAGATGCTATCCCACTGGGATGACTGAGAAGTAGAAGAAAAACAAGCAAAAGAAGTAGCCTGAGCTTGTCTCAGCGTTTCTTCATCTGCTTCTTGTCATCATCATCATTCCTGCTTCCCTCACACACACACACAGACAACCCTCCCTCTCCAATAGCCATCTGCTCTCTTCCAGAAAGACACACATGTACTTCCCAAGTATCAGTTTAGGGCTGGAGTCCAAAGTCTTCTCTTATCTGAAATTCACTCTGCACTTGCCACTTGGCAGAGCTTGCAAATAACTCAGTGGGTGTTTTTATAGTCAGCACTAAAAAATAAAAAATAAAAATAAAAAAGAAATCGCCACACCACTAATAAAATTTTCCGTATTGTTGTAACTATTGGCAAAAGCAAGTGTCTAGGGAGACTGGCTGCCTAAAAAGCTTCATTATGATGCAAGAATATTTTTTATAGAATTTCAGCAGCTCCAGCCTGACTTGTCAACTCTGCTATGTGGCTTTCTAAAGTCATTCCTACCCCTCCCTAATTGGCCCTCAAACCCAAGAAAATACTGAGGTCAGTTGTTGGGAATCTGAATCTTTCCAAGTAATTAACAGGTAGAATTACCAGGTAGCAGGCGGTGTTTGCTTGTAATCCGTCAATAATGGCTGCAGTGGGGGTGATTGTCATCTTGAGTGGCCTTGCAACCATGTCTAATTTAAAGTGTCAATAGAGTTTATTTCTGTCTTTTATTCCTACTGCCAGGTTGTGAGTTCCCCCTTGAGAATCCAAGCTCAAAGTCAGACAGATATTTGGAACATATGAATTTCAAGGGAGAAAAAAGTTACTCAGAAACTCAAAATATGTAAAAGCATTTAGGCATCATTCCTCTATCACATGATTTGGTCAGATTAGACCAGCCTATATATTCAAGGCAGATACACAGCATTGGACATTTAGATTTTAAAAAGCTGCAAAGTTCCACTTTGCCAACTGGATTGGGGGTAATAGCTGGTATAAATGAGGGTCTTTTAAGACTCACTAATGCTTGCTACCACTGCTAGGCTTCTTGCTTTTCACTTACATATTTTCTTTCTTAATTTTTCACTGAACTTTTTTCTAGTTCAAAATAGATTGATTTGCCAAAACAACAAAGCCTATGGTGCATGTTGAATATGCCTCGATTTGCACATTTTTCATTAGCAGCATCTGGTCTTGGCTGACAAAGTTTTGTGACTGCTCTTGGTATCAGTTTTGGGTAGAGCTGCTGTGAAGTCTAATTGACTGCTTCATTCTCATAAATACCTTCCCTCTTTGAAATAACCTTGATTGAAGAAAGTCATTCCTTGTTTTATATTTAAAGACAGGGTCCCATTTTCTTCCTTTAATTTTTTCTTTTCTCCTCCTCCCTCCCCCCTTTCTTCTGACACATATAGAACCAAGATGTTGGGTTCCAGAAGCACACGTTAGTTCACAGATGGCTTTTAGGAATACCCTTACCCTGTTTGTTTCTTGCCATTTGAGTCATTTAGGTAATATACTTTATTTTTCAATACAGGATAAAAAATATTCTGAATAGATATCTTCAGGTACAGCAATCAATGTGGTTTGGTTATGGTAGTGAATGAGACAGAAATTTTACTACGAAGTTTTTTTCTAGACTTGCCTTCTTAAAAATTTTATTGAAAGTTGAATTTTAAAATGCTGATGATACAACAGCTGGTATCCAGCATTTGTTTTGAATTTGTATCTAATCAAGATAAATAGATTTTCTTTATAAGTAAAAAAAACACACACACAAAAAAAACAAAAAAAAACACAACACACCAAACAAACAAACAAACAAACAACAAACAAACTGGTATGGGGGGGGGGAAAGAGTAATGTGCTTTTAGCCAATATGTTCTGTTAATATATTTTAGATTTAAATATATTAATCACTTCTTTATCAGGGAGGAAACATAAGAGCCTACAGAGAAAAGTGTTTTCAAATGGCATTGTCCTAGGCATTCAGTATCTATTTGGCTTAAGTAGGTCATCATACAAGAAGAAACCAAACCTGAGACAGCAAACCTACTGGAAACTTCCCTCTATATTATAGAGTCTATAACATTCAGATGATTAAAAATCTTGTCCTCTCATCCCTTTTTTTAGATAGCCGTCAAGAAATACATGGTGATTCCTGTAACGTTTGGTGTCAATAACAGAACGTGTGCCCTGGCTCTGCAGTTCAGCTGGTTAGAGCAGTGGTGGGCAAACCGCGGCTCGCGAGCCACATGCGGCTTTTTGACCCCTTGAGTGTGGCTCTTCCACAGAATGCCACGTGCAGGGGCACAGGTATAGTGCGATTGGAACTTTGTGACGCATGGCCTGGGTGAGTCTATTTTGAAGAAGTGGCTTTAGAACACATGTGGCTCCTGAGCCGCTGTTTGCTGACCACTGGGTTAGAGCATCATCCCCATGTACCAAAGTTGTGGGTTTGACCCCTGGTTTGGGCACATACAAGAATCAATCCATGAATGTATAAATAAGGGGAACAAAAAATTAATGTCTCTCTCTCTCCCTCTCTCTATCTCTCTCTCTAAGAAGCAGTAAATTTAAAAGTAATTTATAATTTTTTTTTTAGCTATGCAGTTTTTTTTTTTTTTTTAGAATTCCCCTTTTTCTTCTTCTTCTTCTTCTTCTTCTTCTTCTTCTTCTTCTTCTTCTTCTTCTTCTTCTTCTTCATCTCCTTCTTCTTCTTCTTATTTAACTTTTGGTTCCTTATCCTTAACTATCTTTAAATATGTACTGTCCCCATTCTCAGAGCAATATACTTTCTCTCAGACTTCAGAATGTTTCTCTTCCCTCATCTTTCATAGAGCCTATATTGTTTTTTTTAAATTTTATTTATAATAAATCTTTATTGTTCAGATTATTACAGGTGCTCCTCTTTCCCCCGTCTTCCCCCATAGCTCCCCTCCACCTGATCCCCAACTCCACCCCACCCCTGTCTTCATCCATAGGTGTAAGATTCTTGTCCAGTCTCTTCCATCACCCCCTGAGAATTGTTAGTCCAATCCCTTTCTATGTCCCTGATTCCATTATATTCACTAGTCCATTTTGTTATTCAGATTTTTTATTCACTTGATTTTTAGGTTCACTTGTTGGTAGGTATGTATTTTATGTCTTTTTGTTGTTCATAATTTTTACCTTTACTTTTTTCTTCTTCTTCCTCTCCTTAAAGAATACCCTTCAGCATTTCATGTAATTCTGATTTGGTGTTGATGAACTCCTTTAACTTTTTCTTGTCTGTGAAGCTCTTTATCTGACCTTCAATTCTGAATGATAGCTTTGCTGGGTAGAGTAATCTTGGTTGTAGGTTCTTGTTGTTCATCATTTTGAATATTTCTTGCCACTCCCTTCTGGCCTGCATAGTTTCTGTTGAGAAATCAGCTGACAGTCGTATGGGTACTCCTTGTAGGTAACTAGCTATTTTTCTCTTGCTGCTTGTAAGATTCACTCTTTGTCTTTTGCCCTTGGCATTTTAATTATGATGTTTCTTGGTGTGTCCCTCCTTGGATTCCTCTTGTTTGGGGTTCTGTATGCTTCCTGAACTTGTAAGTCTATTTCTTTTACCAGGTAGGGAAAGTTTTCTGTCATTATTTCTTCCATTAAGCCTTCAATATCCTGCTTGCTTTCCTCTGGCATCCCAAAAATCCAGATGTTGGTACGCTTTAAGCCATCCTGGAGGCTCCTTACACTGTCCTCACACTTTTGGATTCTTCTTTCTTTCTGCCTCTCTGGTTGGGTGATTTTTTTCTTCCTTATATTCCAGATCTTTGGTTTGATTCTTGGGGTATATTGATCTATAGTTGAGTTTCTGTATATTCTTGATTTCAGAGATTGTATGCTTAATTTCTGACTGGTCTTTTTCCATTTTTTTTGGTATTCTCTTTAAGATCCTTGAAAGTCTCACCAAGCTTCTTGGAGGTCTCATCAAGTTTCTCAAAGGATTTTAGAAGATTCTTGAGTAATCTTATAAATGTGATTCTGAACTGTGTGTCATCCATTAGTTTATTCTCTCCCATTCATGTCATGTTTCTGTGTTTCCTCATTTTGGCAATCTCCCTGTGTTGATAGAGTGGCTTTATGTGGTTGTTGACCTATAGGGGTAAGTAGCTCAGCTTTCCCAAACACCTGAGGTGGTTGCTTTTGCTATATCCCTTTATGGGCTTAGTGCACAGTCTTGGTGTAATTAAGTCTGATTGCTGTTGGTATACTGGGAGGAACTGACTCCAGGCCAATTGTCTGTGAGGACCTGCTGTGTCTATAAAGGAAGAACTGCTGCGCTGGAGACACACCTTGTTTCAGTGGGGCTTTGGTGTCACTTCTGGGTGTAAGGGATTGAAACTGAGCACTAGAACTCTGGTTTCTGGGTCTCAATGAAGTGCAGTTCAGCTACAGCGTGAACTGTAGTCCTGTCCTCCTTGGATCTGTTTGCCCCAGGTTGCAATTTTGCTAAACTGCAACAGAGAGGGCCATTCATATGCAAAGTTTGCTGCTTGGAGCTTGGATGTGTTGTAATGGAAGGAGTCTTAGGGCAGAGTCTCAGGGCATCACTAGGCTGGGGCATGGCCAACAGTAATGGGGGCCCGGCCACCTCTCGGATGGCATCCCTGTGTCTCCCTGCATCTCACATCACAGCACGGTAAACAATCTCAGCTCTGCAAGCAAGCCAGCCCCACTTTCTTTCTTTTTTTTAATTAAATATATTTTATTGATTTTTCACAGAAAGGAAGGGAAAGGGATAGAGAGCTAGAAACATGGATGAGAGAGAAACATTGACCAGCCGCCTCCTGCACACCCCCCACTGGAAACGTGCCCACAACCAATGTACATGCCTGTTAACGAAAAAAACTATTGAAACCTGTAAAGAATTTTTTTTAAAGAGTTTATTTGAGCCTTACTGTCAACAATTGCCGGGAAGCAGAACCTCAAAGGATTGAGATAATGCTCCAAAGAATGGTGGATTACATTTCTCTATTTATACACTGAAATCAAAGGAGGGACATAGGTGGGTTACATGAAATTCATTGGTGATGGAGTAAGGAGGCGGGAGAAAGCAAAGCGGTGGGAAACTCCTGGGA